CACGCATGCATATATTATATATATATTGTATATATATATATATAATAGTGTGTGTGTGTGTGTGTGTATATATATATATATATACTGTATATATTAGTTATATATATATATGCATGCAATAATTATATATCAATAATACAGTAGTTATATATAATAGTGTTCAGGGTGTAATTTTTCTGGGCTGAAACAGGATGTCAACGTTTTGCACTGTCTGCCTAGTCTGTAATATTTGAGTCTCGCAGGTGAGATATGGTTGCTACAGATAAGGTAAGCAAAGCGCTGTGGGCGGGCATGGGCAGTGGTCGGTGATTGAGGGAAGTGTTATTGTTCACAGCACATCGGGGGTGTAGGCGGGCATGCGCGGAGGGGCAGTGCAGGCAGCTTGGAGCTCATCCTCGGGCCTCTCATACAAAGCGCCCTTCAGTAAGTATCAGGCTAGAAAGGATGGTGCTTGAACAAATTTATTTTGATTTCATGTGCTCCCAAATTAGTGTAATCAGTAGATTGGCTTGATCATTACATTCTAAATTTCAAAATTTTGAAATATCACTAACCAATAATTTCCTTTATTGTTAATAAATGCTGGGAGACTTGCAACATAATGGTAATATTATTTACTGCATTGACCAGAAGTTCAAGAGTATCACAATAATATTTTTGTAATGTCAGTCAGAAAACACTGACCTGAAGTGCAGTCAATGAAGCTGCATATAGTGTTAGGAAAAGATATACATTTTTTAATTTATTGAAAGTGCAAAGCAAGAATAAATTAGTGTAAATCTAATTTTAAAGAGATTCTTTTTAACCTCTTGGTCAAAATAAAAATTAATTTGTATGGGTTGAATGGGAATATTAACATATTTTAAATTATGGTCTTGCAGTTGACTGGAAGTAATCTTTCACACTTAATCAGGGATTAACTTTTCAACAAATAATCAGTTGATACAGGTACATGTTTTTTGTTCTTTTTGCTTCTGATGGCATGGCAATGATTGCCGATGCTAATTGCCCATCTAGTTGTTTGTAACCCTCTCCTTTTTTTAGTGGACTATGTACACTGGACTGTAGACATTAGACTGGAATGAGAGACCAAATGGACTATTTTAATTATTGTGCATATTTGGTTATGCAAAAATATTTGCATGCTGCATTTTAATAACATTTCTGCATGCTTTCACTCGTATGTTATTCTGGTGCATGTGTTTTCCGAGTTGTAATTGTATTGAACATTTGTTATTATTGCTAGAAATTCCAGAACTGTTCTTTGCATGTATGTAACTTGGATATTTTGTAGTTAATTAACAGTTACAGAAAATTACAAGCACTGTAATTATTACAAGTGATTTAATAGTTAATTTTACTGTAATTATAGATTATATAAAATCAAAATTTAAACTACAAGGTATTGTGATACAAGATTATATTGTGATTTATACAGTGCAGGTACATCACATGCAAAAGAATACATATTAACATATGAATAATGAAGTTATACTATACTTTTAACTAATTAATAAGCTCAGAGATAAATAACCGATGTATTTGCCATACACTGGTCTGTATTACTGGCATATATTTACATTGGTTTAAAACTTAATACCTGTATTGTGAATAATACAGTTCCACTGTTTCTGTTTCCTCTGGTTGAAATGAACATAAATTTCATGAAATCCTGATGATTGCTGATTAACAAAGACAGTATGGCTTGCTTTGTCAAATTGAGTATGATCACTTGGCCTAGTATGCACTAGACTGGCATGGCATAAATAATCCACATTGCACTCTAGCTGACTTGTTGAATTACAGAAATGAATTAAAAAAAAAAATGCCAGAAATATGTTGTCAACAGTGTTTCACACAGAATATTGTAACAGGGATGGATGGCTAGAGTGCCCTGTAGAATGAGGCTGGAGGAAGGGAGGAAGGGGGGGGGGGGCAAAAAAGTACAGCCACCCTGTAGAGTAAATGTGAAGAGTTGGCATATAAAGACTAGACACCATGAGTCTGATCTCTGTCCCCATGAACCACAGTTAAGCAAACCTGGATACAAATACACCCACTCAAGCTATGAGGTAGGGCCTAAAGTGGGATCTTACTCCCCGTAGATGATTAGGTGAGCATGACTTGTTAAATTAAGTAGCATCAAGTCAGTATATCCACAACTGACAGAAAGAGGTTTGTGGTTATCAGAGGGAATGAGTCAGACTGGAGAAGCGTTATTGGAGCTGTACCACAGGGTTCAGTTCTTGTACCGATAATGTTCATTGTCTATATGTAAACAATCTACCAGAAGAAATTCAAAACTATGTGAACATGTTTGCTGCTGATGCTAAGTTATTAGGGAAAATAAAAAACTAAGATGATTGTCATGTCCTTCAAGATGATTTGGACAAAATAAATGGAGCAGCAACACTTGGCAAATGGATTCAGTGTGAGTAAATGCCATGTTATAGAATGTGGAATAGGAGAAAATGGGCACCACACAACCCACAAATTATGTGTAGAGGTATTAAAGAACCCTAACCAAGAAAGAGAACTAGGAGTATTTTTGGATAGACTGTCACCAGAAGACCACATTAAGGACCTTGTGTAAGGAGCGTATGTTACACTTTCCAACTTCAGAATCACTTTTAAATACGTTGAGGGCAAAACATTAAATAAATGGGCCATGAATTTCGTGGTGCCCATATCTCAAGAAGCACATCAATAAACTTGAAAAGTTGCAAAGACATATTAAGAATTAGTTTCCAGAACTGAAAAAACAAGAGCTTCAAAGAGAGGCTAGAGGTGTTAAATATGCCAAAGCTAGAAGATAGAAAAAAAAGTCATTATGATCACTACATACAAAATAATAAGAGTAAGAAACCAAAATTGACAGAGGAATTCTTGAAACCTTCAACTTCATGAACAAGGTCATAAATTCAAGCTAAGGAAGCAAAGGTTTCCCCAAAATATTTGAAAGTTCTTCTTAGGAGAGTACCTGGTGACAATTCAAACAATTTAAGTTAGGGATTGGTAGATGTCAAAACCATCAGCAGTTTTGAAGTGTCATATAACAGATTATAGGGGAAGATGGGACACCATAAGCACAGCTTTCATTCTTTAAATGCACTTAAAAAATGGTGCATATGCAATCTGAACACAAACATGCACTGTCATATGCCAGATAAAATGTTTATGAATTCAGCACACTACAGTTTGTAAACAAAGCAGTGTAACATTCAAAGAGTTTAAGCTCTGCCAAATGGCTAAGTCTCAATTAGAACCACATTTAAGGCTAAATTGCATGTCATATTTCTTGCCATCTTGGCATTTATGTCCAAACTTATGAGAGTGCAGCATGAAAGCAGTCAACATGTATTTATAAAATCATTGAGATTTTAATTAACTAACTATTGTAACTATATTGTTCTAGAAAATTGTGCAATATTAACAAACTATGTGCAGTATTAACAAACTAGGAATTGAAGACACCATTGTCAAATAACTGACTACTTTCCTTTTCAGTTGCCATGCTTAGATTGGGGTGGTTTTATAATTGTTGAATAAACTATATTTTTATGGTGAAATGTTTGCTGTTAATGAATTAACTTCTTTTATCCTTTGTCTAATCTATCAATGCTAAAAGCAAACAATTTAACATTTGCTGTTCATTTGTGCTTTTACTTACTTCAGTGTAGCCTAGCATATTGCCATTATAGCTTGAAAAACAATTCATACCAAAAGCAAACATGCATACTTATCAAATAGTAATAATAAATAATTACTAGTGGAAATGATTATATTATACAGTGTTACATTTTGCTATTGAATATTATATACAGTATGTGACTTTCTCGACAGGCATCAACAGCGGTAGTGAGCGATACCACTAGCTGCCCCAACGGGAGCTTCGACCACATTCATGCTGCAGTTAACGGAAAAATGCGTGGATCAGGGAAGATAAATGAATCCATTAGTGGGACCTACATGTCAGAAGGCAGTAACACTAAGACATGTTATACAAGGAATGGTTATTCCCAGAACTGTAAAGGGATAGTACCTTTGCCTGATGAGTACATTCACATCAACAGTAAAGCAAATGCATGTAATATTAAAGGTCCCATGATTAACTTTACTAATGGGGACTCAAATACTTACAAAACAGATTACATCAATGGAAATTTGCATGAACATGTATTAAACCTGAGTAGTGGAAAAAGTTCTGGACACCTGAAGACCTTTGGTAATGGTCATGTTAATGGTAATATTAATGGTCATTTAAAAGACTACCGTAATAGTTCCACGAATAACAGTTTTGAAGTAGAGAGCAAGAACAATAAGAATGTGACTTTTAAAGTTGATAGCACACTATTAAGGAACAGTAAAGGGATTGGCGTAAATATTACAGTGAACGGCAAGTTGGACGGTGGTCACCTGAAGGGTGAGTACAAAAGTGATTCAAAAGGAAAGTTAGGTGGTGAAGCTGCAGATGAAATTAGCACTGAACTGTGATAGTTATATGTTGTTCTTGATGTATATAGCCTTTATTTTGTTACTCAACCACTCAGCTGTATGTGTATAGTTGCAAGTGCCAAATGTATGCAAATCTTGATTTAATTTAAATACAGTAATGCAAGATAGTTATATGTTTCAGAGAAGACATTCATGAAGTAATGTTTTGTGAAATAAATACTTGGGTGTGGAGGCAAAAAAAAATCTGTAGATAAATTGTACAGAAGGTAAAAGGTGTGGAGTGTACTAGCAAGAATGGGTCAGACTGGGCTGAGATTTGACCTTTCTTGTGTCTGTGTATGGTATGTACAATATGTATGTAATTGCCTAACTGTAACCTCAGTGAGTTATATTCTCAATGTTGGAGATTCAAAAATTGTGTATACAACCATGTATGCATGCATGAATTGTCTGTATATATATGTATGCATGCATAATGTGTGTGTGCATGCATCATGTATGTGTATGTGAGTGCATGCATCATGTATGTGTATGTGAGTGCATGCATCATGTATGTGTATGTAAGTGCATGCATAATGTATGTGTGCATGCATAATGTATGTGTGCATGCATAATGTATGTGTACATGCATCATGTATGTGTGTGTGTGTATGCATCATGTATGTGTGTGTGTGTATGCATCATGTGTGTGTGCATGCATCATGTATGTGTGCATGCATCATGCATAATTACCTAAGTGTAGTTACAGGATGAGAGCTACGCTCGTGGTGTCCCGTCTTCCCAGCACACTGTGTATGTATGTGTGCATGTATCATGCGTTATGTGTGCGATGCATTGTGTGTATGCACCATCATGATTTACACACATGATAGATATATATATATATATATATATATATATATATATATGTGTGTGTGTGTGTATTTTATATATTTTATATATATATATATATATATATATATATATATATATATAGTTATATGATATATAACATATATATATATATATATATATATATATATATATATATATATATATATATATATATATATATATATATATATATGTGTCGTACCTAGTAGCCAGAACTCACTTTTCAGCCTACAATGCAAGGACCGATTTGCCTAATAAGCCAAGTTTTCATGAATTAATATATTTTCTCTAATTTTTTTCTTATGAAATGATAAAGCAACCCATTTCATTATGTAAGAGGTCAATTTTTTTTATTGGAGTTAAAATTAACGTAGATATATGACTGAACCTAACCAACCCTACCTAACCTAACCTAACCTATCTTTATAGGTTAGGTTAGGTTAGGTAGCCGAAAAAGTTAGGTTAGGTTAGGTAGGTTAGGTAGTCGAAAAGCAATTAATTCATGAAAACTTGGCTTATTAGGCAAATCGGGCCTTGCATAGTAGGCTCAGAAGTGAGTTCTGGCTACTAGGTACGACATATATATATATATATATATATATATATATATATATATATATATATATATATATATATATATATTATTAAATATGACCGAAAAAGTAAGATTAATAATTCTAACACGAATTTTCTCAATCTTTCGTACATTACGCTTCACTGTTGGAGGTAAATCAAAAATCACTTCTCCAAAATTCATTTTTATTTCTAGTCTGACGCGACACGGGCGCGTTTCGTAAAACTTATTACATTTTCAAAGACTTCACAAATACACAACTGATTATATATTTGTGAAGTCTTTGAAAATGTAATAAGTTTTACGAAACGCGCCCGTGTCGCGTCAGACTAGAAATAAAAATGAATTTTGGAGAAGTGATTTTTGATTTACCTCCAACAGTGAAGCGTAATGTACGAAAGATTGAGAAAATTCGTGTTAGAATTATTAATCTTACTTTTTCGGTCATATTTAATAATATATGTCTACAGGAAAGACTGCTACCAAAATATACTATATATATATATATATATATATATATATATATATATATATATATATATATATATATATAAAATGTATATAAAATACACACACACACACACACACATACATACATGTGTACACAAAGTATGCAAACACACACACATACATGTGTGCGCATAAAGTATGCACACACACACACAGTACAGTGTGTGTGCGTGTAATACCTTAGGTAATTACATGCTTACACACTATACTGTACATACTGTGTAATTTGTGTTTGTGTGCAGTAGTTGTTTATATCTGTAAAGTGCAGTCAAATATCATGCCCAAAACTTAATTTAAGTAGAAATTATTAAAGTAATAAATTACATCTTAAATTTCTTTAAAAAGTACAGTTTACAGCCATTATGCTGATCTAAATTTTTTTTTGTTCTCCCATACTCCCTGACCCACTCTGTCACGTGTCTGATCTCATGACGTTATTGTCAGCTATTAACTAAAGTTCTCTCCCTTCCCCCAAAAAGGAAGGTTGATGTAGAGAAACGAGGAGCGACAACTATGGACACAGCAAAAAGTACTCGCTGGACTGTCGCGCTACATCGTGTTTGAATTTAATGTATTCCTATATTATCTGTATTGAATGTCTTTAAGTGTTCAAATATTAACCTGTGTTTAAAAGTGATGTACTAACATTTCTAATGGCATTGTATAATTTTAAATTAATTATAAAACATTCACTACAGAGTTCAACTTTGTAAAGTATGCACAAGTTTTACAATCTAAATGGATCAGTTCCTTGCTTCATAGTGAAGCACTGAAAATTTATATCTTGATCACGAGTAGCTGCGAAATAGTCACATTTGGTGTGCACCTGGAGAACTATGCTTTTTGCACTATAAATAAAAGGAAATATGTTCATACAAATAAATATTGCACCTAAAAGTCACTGTACTTCATTTACATTTGGCAAAATTAATTTTTCTTATTCCATATTATAGTACCCAACTATTAACTCTGTGATCATGATACTACTTTGACTCATACCTTTCTATATCATGCTGTAATCAATAAAATTTGGATGTTAAGTTTTTGACACATCATTGTAGAAATACAAACTTATCAAAATGTACACATTTATTTTAAATTCTAGATTTTGTAGACAATGTTGGTTACAAGTGTACTGATCATCTGCACCTTACCTGTAGCATAGCAATAAACTCTTCCTATGCTTTAAAGTTCTTGCATTTCACCCTGGCAAATGTGATGGAAAATGCTTTATGCAAGATGAATACTGCAAATTTTATCAACTATTATCTACACTAGTAGGCATACATTTCAGCTTTGTTTAAGCTAATTAAAATTTCATTATTGGTCCAAGACTGACCTTTTCCTGGATACAACCAAATAACAATTGCATAATGTCTGGGTTCTTATTTATGCTGGCATAATACGCATCTGTTATAAGTAAATGAGTCCAGACGTCTTGCCCTGCCCGGAAAAAGAATTTTGGTCATCTTGAGATGATTTCGGGGCTTTAGTGTCCCCGTGGTCCGGTCCTCGACCAGGCCTCCACCCCCAGGAAGCAGCCCGTGACAGCTGACTAACACCCAGGTACCTATTTTACTGCTAGGTAACAGGGGCATAGGGGTGAAAGAAACTCTGCCCACTGTTTCTCGCCGGCGCCCGGGATCGAACCCGGGACCACAGGATCACAAGTCCAGCGTGCTGTCCGCTCCTCCCGACCAGGTACAATCAATTGTATGATGACTGTACTAATCATTGAGCTACAAGTTACTTTTAACTTGGTATATACCAACAAATGTGTTTCTCAAAATATATACACAATTTACTTGTCTTCAACTCTATTTGACATTAGAGTACAGTATATTGTAACTGAAGGTTAGAAACTGTATATTGCAGCTTTAATAATAAGCTTGGCAGTTCCCAGGTCTTCGACCTTAACACTTAATTGGCTTTTTAATCTTGACACTGAGAATCCATATCAAATCTTGTTTAGAAATGTTTAACTTTATTTTCCTCATAGGTAGCATAATTACATATCTTACATACTCCCTTGGAGGTAGGTAATAAATTATTCCAGATAAATAATAAAACAGGTCTTTTGTCTGCATGTGAAATTCATACCAGATACCTAGGTATTAGGTAAGGCACATGACATCTTTTTTGGGCTCACAAATAATTAAAGAAAAATGCATGTATTTTATTTATTTATTTATTTATTATTTATTTATATTTATTTTAAGCTTAAATCTAGATCCCCAGGGGTTATGCATTCTGGGAAGGGGCAGTAGTTAACGCTCTGACAGTTAACTAATTTCTGGGCACCTAGTTACTGCTAGATGAACAGAGGCATTAGTTAAAAAGAAAACTTGCCCAATCATTTCTGTCCCACCCGAGAATTGAATCTCGTGTTCCCAACTGTGGGAGATCTGTTGATACTACTTTGGTGAGGCTTCTTTTAAATTGTTATGCTGATGTATGTAGATCTTCACTACTCAGGATATTAAATTGCCAAAACAACTTAAACAAAATGCATATTACATTAATTCAAATTGTTGTCTTAAGAGTTAATGTAATGGAGTCAGCAATAATGTAGAAGACATTTATCATATAATGTTGCTATATAAAGTTCATTACAATTCTCATTTAATATCACATGCAATTGTTGATGGAACCTCCTGAATGTCAACAATGAGACTTTGTTACCCCTCTCAACATCAAGTGCAGTGTTATGTGCTCCAATCAACAGATTAATCTGGTGGATTATTGTAAGTATCTTAACCCACAAAGATGACATTAGAACAAACTGGATTGAATTCAGTTCAGGTTGAGCCTATGCAGGTAGATTTAAGAGATTAGAATTTCCTTCAAGCCCTTTCTTTCTTAATCCAAGTGATGTGCAACGGTTTATACACCATCAATCCAAGTTATGTATATCCTATGTGTTAGGGCCTACTTGACCCAATAACCGGGTTCTTTCTGTTTATGGGTTCTTAGAGCCTTTTCTATGATCCCATCCATAGTCAATGGTAAGTTATCGAGAATTGGCAGTAGCAAGTAATTGTGCAAAGAATAAAGGGAGTAAACAAGACTATATAACTTCAGCAATATATTATCCATTTCATATAACTACACATATGTACACAGTGTGTCTTTTGCACAAGACACGTAATATATCTGCAGTGTTCTTCAAATCCTGGCGAGCCCACTACAAGTATATGTCATCCACGTCCAATGGTTATTACCGGCGAGCAGGTTAACATAAAAATTGTTCAAGACATTTTGCAATTGATATACAACTTCTAGGGATGGCATAACATGAAAAGGAGGAGAAAATGAACAGGTGTTATTAGGGAATATTTAAAATTAAGGGAGATATGGGAACATAATTGAATTGTTGAAAGTTTTGAAAATAACTGACAAACAAAAGATATTTATAAACAGAAATTTTTAACAGTAGATGAGAATTATAAAAATAACATACAATGCTTTATAGTATATAGGAGTAGCAATATTTAGTAACAGCAAATTTGAGGTAATTAACAAGTGAAGGAAACCATTGGTATCATTACCTACCATCATTATACATATGACTATATATCTGGTCCTAAG